TCTTATTTATAGTAGTTTCTGCTGGCTTTGCTGGTGTGGTACATGAGTGCAGGACTGAATCTGTGTTTGTTATCTGCTGCCCCCTACAGGTTGGTCCAGTGCATCGCTTCAGGAGTGGGGCTCCTACATGCGGCTGGCTATCCCCAGTACACTAATGCTCTGCTTTGAGTGGTGGATTTATGAAATCGGGGGGTTCTTTGCAGGTATGTCCATTTCTCAGAACTAGAGATGTCTACAGTTCTGTTTGGAGTCTGAATATAATGACATGCTGTTAAGTTCACCGGCAAGTGACCTCAAACAGACAAATCAGGATAGTGACATCGGTTTATGACGTGTAGCTTTTGTGAGTTTTCATGCCTGAAACAACATAACATAGAATTCCATTTTCTTTCAGGCTGTATTAATATTTATATTTGTACTATATTTTGCTTATTTCTTTTACTTAATTTTCAAGTCATCGAATCCTTTTTGTTTTCCGTACACATCTACAGAAGAGACCGACCCATGGAGACTGATAGGTACCATATGTGTTTTGCCCTCTCCCTCTCTCTGTGCTGGCAGGCATGCTCGGGGAGGTGGATCTGGCTGCACAGCATGTGCTGCTGGAGCTTGGAGCCATTACCTACATGGTATGCCGAAGAGAAAATGCTGACAAATGCCCCGGCACTCATTAACTGCCCAGACTCAAGCCCCGCGCAAACCAGTTAGACATTAATTATAGAAGTTTACCAAGACATTTTTTGCTAAGTCATGGTTGAACTGAGGTTTAGAATAAATTTCTACAGAAAATCATGAATTGGCAGTAGCTGTGTATTTGAGAATTTAGAAACCATGCTTTGTTTTTTTTTCCGCTGCAAGGAATTTAATTGTAAAACTTTTTAAAAAGCTGCAACAGTAAATTGTCAGTTCTGTATCAGTATTGTTTCTCTCTCTTTCTAATGTGTTTATGTGCTTGTGTGGGGCTATGCTTATGCGTCTTTGTCATGCCTGTTCTGTCCTTGTTACTGTCTCTGTCCTGCATCTTTGCTCTGTCTACGTTGACCCATATGCTATGTTGTGTCTGTTCTGCTGTGTCTGTGTTGTATCTGTGTTGACCTATGAGCTGTGTCTGTGTTGTGTCTCTGTTGACCTGTGTGCTATGTCTGTGTTGTATCTGTGTTAACCTATGCACTGTGCTTGTGTTGTGTCTGTGTTGATGCATGTGCTGTGCTTATGTTGCGTCTGTTGATTCATGTGCTGTGCTTGTGTTGTGTCTGTGTTGATGTATGTGCTGTGCTTGTGTTGTCTCTGTGTTCATGTATGTGCTGTGCTTGTGTTGTATCTATGTTGATGTATGTGCTGGGTTTGTTTGGTGTCTGTGTTGACTCACGCGCTGTGTTTCTGCCCTCTCTGCGGGTCAGTTCCCTCTGGGTGTCCATGCAGCAGCCTGTGTGCGCGTGGGTAACGCGCTTGGGGCGGGGGACACCGCAAGAGCCCTCCTCACCAGCAAGGTGACTCTAGTCCTCTCAGGTGAGTCAGATCCTGATCACTGCCATTTCAATACATTTTTACATTGTTGACATTTAGCAGACGCTGTTATCCAGAGCGCGTTTTTACAATGGTACAGCTGGATATTTACTAAGGCAATTGTGGGTTAAGTATCTTGCCCAAGGGTACAGCAGCAGTGCCCCCGCGGGGAATCAAACCGGCAACCTTTTGGTTACGAGTCTTGCTCCTTAACCACTATTCTACACTGCCGCTACACTGCCCATGATTGCCTGTCAGACACACGTCTTCCTTCGGACAGTTTGGTAATTCTGTTTGATATTGCAGGTGTGCTGGCGGTATTTCAGGGGATTGTACTCGGCTCGACTAAAAGAGTGATTGGATTCATTTTTACCACTGATGTGTAAGTGGCAGCATGAAGGCATCACTGCTCCTCTGTTCGGGTTTCCTCACAGTGAATTAAAAGGGGAACAAAAACATGTCGAGACAGGCTGGTGTGAAACTGTCACTGTTCAGATTAGCATTCCTTTCATGAGAAAGAAAATCTGTGCTTTAATTACCCACTCCATGTTCTCTCAACTCTGTGTTTTTACAGGAACATTGTGGAGCTGGTCTCCAGCCTTTTAAACGTGTACATCTTCCTACAGTTTTTTGATGCCCTTGTGGTGAGTCATCAAATGTCTGTTAAGAGGGCCGCTCTGTTTTTTTTTTTCCCCCAGCTGCTCTATTTTTTTCTGCTTGGAGTCCTCTCAACATTTCAAAACATGTCAAAGCATTGTTTTAAAAAAAGGCTGAAGTGGTGCAAATGGATGCTATTCAGACTATTTCATTATTAATATACTCACATTATTACAGAGGAAGACTGACTAGGGGCTTATTTTTGTCTGGCATATGCCTTATTTTTTGAGCTATAATTTCTACACTTTGATATGCTAAAGTATGAAGTGATAATTATATAGGTCTGAAACTACATGCGTGTCATATGTCAGAATGTCATAATGTAACAAAAAGGGCTAATTTAGCAGCTTGGATACATGCAATTTTACATATCATACACTATATAAAGAAAAGTATATGTATGAAAGCATCAATAATTTATATACTGATATATATTTTGTATATTGTATATACTGGATATGCAACACATGGTTTCATGTGCTGTATTCCTTTTACTTAACATTTCAGCATAAATTTTTCATGAAAATGCTGCATGTTACATTGCTTTGACAATGATGGCCTTTGTAAATGATGAAACACATAAAGTCTGTTTCTCTTAATGTGGTCAATATTCCACCTTTATCTGCAAAGGCCCACAAGAATGACAGTTATTGACCGTTGCGTGTGGTGGCTGACATCAGAGTTGCATATTAGTAGGCCCTGAGCAGACATTGTGCCTGTCTCTCACTAGTGTGTCAGCTCTGGCATTCTCCTGGGTTCAGGGAAGCAGAAGATAGCCGCCATGGCTAATCTCATATGCTACTACTGCATTGGACTCCCACTGGGTATCGCCTTGATGTTTAAAGCTGGCCTGAGAATAATGGGTAGGCTTCTTTTCCTCACACATATATTCACAAAGAAAAAAGTGACAAGATTAAGAGAAAGAAAAAAAAAACTTACCAGGCCGTAATTTGATCATACCGTATTTCTTCATTTTGTAATGCCATAGGGGAATCCTTATACAGAAGATACTGTGTTCCCTCTTTCTGTGACCTCGCTATGAACTCTTTGATCACTGGTATTTCCATTTCATGCGTAGTCAAATAAAAACCCACAGGGATGGGAAACGAATGCTGATCTGTTTTTGATAGCATCCCTGTTTCAAATGTAAGCATCGGGTGTAAACCACACTGTGCTCCGGGACGATGGCCCAGCGATCAAAGGAAACATTCTTCGGAGGTTTAATTTCCAATTGAATGAACAAAAGAAAGGGGAGACTTCAGAAGAAGGGAACAAATACGAATCACACTTCCCTTTCTAGGAACGTCAGATTCTGATTTGAAGGGGACCAATGAAAATATGGCAATTTTAAGTTGCCTGATGTGTGGCAGAGAGTTTCAGTGTGTGCTGGTGTGTAGGAGGGAGACTTTTAATGTTCCCTAGTATGTAAGAGGGACAGATTTGGTGTGCCCTGGGGTACAGCAGCAGAGTTTTAGTGTGTACCGATATGTGTAAGAGGGAGGTTCAGTGTGTCCTGGGGTGTGTAGGAGGGAATTTTAGCGTGTCCTCCTGTGTAGGGGACAAATTTAGTGTGTCCTTGTGTATAGGAAGGAATTGTAGTGTGTCCTGGTGTATACGAGGGAGGTTTTAGTGTGTCCTGGTGTGTAGGGGGAGTTTTAGTGCTTCCTGATGTGTAGGAGGAGGCTTTTAGAGTGTCCTGGTGTGTGTAGGAGGGAGAATTTTGTGTTAGGGGATGGGATTAGTGTGCTCCTGTGTGTTGAGGTTGGCTGACTCTTCTCTCTTTTCATTTCTCTCTCTTCTCAGGACTCTGGCTGGGCCTGCTCACCTGTGTCATCCTGCTAAGCTGTTTCTTCATCACCCTCATCTTCAAGCTCAACTGGCAACGTGTGACTGAGGAGGTGGGGCTCTCTGAAAACTCTCTCTCTCTTTTTCTCTCTCACTTATTATTGACTCTTTAAGCCAGGGGCGATTCTAGGATCAGACCTTTAGGGGGACTCAGCCCCTAATGAGAAGGTGACATGCATACGGTGCCTTGCAAAAGTGTTCAACCCCCCTGCTAAATCACTAATTTCACTGGATAACAATTAATACATTAATATTTTTCTATATATGATATTTTAATTTACAACAATAATACTTTTAATGAATTACTAGTAAGTAACATGAGTTTTTTAAGGGGTGCTGGGATGAAATTTAGGTGTGCTTGAGAACCCCTAAAAAGAGTCTAAAATCGCCAATGCTTTAAGCAGTCCTTTTGCTTTAGTTGTTCCTTTAGTTTCACTGTTACACAGGCATCTCTCCTCATTACTTTCTGTACACTGTATGGGTTCAGCACTGTGCGTCTAACGGCCATGTTTTTCAACTCTTCCCGTTACTGACAAGTGTCTCTCTGTCACCGTGACAGGCCATGAAGCGTGCTGGGAAGAACAGGCGGATGACGTGCGTGGGGTCAAAGCCGCCCATCGGAGAGCCTGTGATCGACTCTCTGGTCCCTGAGGGCGGCGTAGCTTCAGAGCAGGCAGCAGACAGTGGGGTGGTGAGTGTCCCTTCAGATCTCCTCTTTGCGCCTCTGGGTTGGACATTTGCCAGCGTGTCTCAATGGCATCTGATACATTCGTCCCCTTCATCTTCTCTCATTCATTTCTTTACTTTTGGACGCCTTTGTCTCATTTGACCAGGACCACACGCAAAAGCATGCTAACATTATTATTGTCATTTAGCAGACGCTTTTATCCAGAGTGACTTACATATGTTTCAATTTTTTTCATGTTATCCCTTGATACAGCAGGATATTTACAGAGGCATTTCTGAGTTAAGTACCTTGCCCAAGGGTACAACAGCAGTGGCCTAACGAGGAATTGAACCAGCAACCTTTTGGTTACAAGCCCTGTTCTCTACCCCTATGCTACACTGCCACCCCCATTTAGTTGTACAAAGTTACACATGTTCGTATTGTAAAATTGCTTCAGGCATTTCATTGAGTCTGTTGGCCAATGTGATAATGCCCTACATTAAGGCGAACCAGCTTCTTTGAAATACAACTAGAGAGCATAGGTCAATTAAGCACAATCAAACCTGATAATCTGATGGTAAGGGTTGAGTAGTGATAGCAAAGGTGAAGTCATTCTTAACAGGCATTGCATTACATTACATGCATTTAGCAGACGCTCTTATCCAGAGCAACTTCCAGCACAGGCTTACAGCCAGGACCGGCGCTACGGGGGTGCTTAGGGGTGCATTGCACCCCCAGACAGACCTCAGTGCACCCCCAGTTGTTTCCTTACATCCCGATGTCTACACAGTATTTATGACTTTTTTGTGCACCCCCGTCGATTGCAATTGCACCCCTCTGTATTTTCCCCTGGCACCGTGCCTGCTTACAACTGGTGTGTGTGTGTGAAAGTGAAGGGGTTGAGTGGAAATAGCAAAGGTGAAGTCATACTTAACAGGCTCGCAATTCGTGTGCGTCTGAAAGCCCAGCTGCAGCAGGCGGTAGTAGGGACGCGGCATGGTGACGCTGTGTTTGCGTTCTTCCAGACACAGCCAGCGAAGGACAAGGCCAATGGCTACGCTTCAGTGAGCACGCAAGAGCAGGGGCAGGGGGCCGGGGGGCGGGAGGAGCAGGGGGAGCCGGAGGGGGACTCGCCGCCCAACGCGCCCCTCTCTGTCACTCAGCTGGTGCTGAGGCGTGGCCTGACCGTGCTGGCTGCCGTGGTGATGCTCGCCGTGGGCATGGGCCTCCGCCTGGCGTACCCTCCTCCGGATGGCCTGACGCAGCCGTGGGGGAACCTCACCCTGGACGCCGAAAACTCCTCCTTCCCGACGCCCCTTCTCAATGCGTCCCTGCTGGCATGAGAGCGCCTCCTAGGGGGCTCACCGACACTGGAGAATGGAGAAAGTGTTTCTGCCCTCCTCTCTCCCCACCCCCGAAAACCCCCCCGGCACCATGACCATGTGCTCTCCCCCTTTTCCCTGCCTCCACATTGAGGGTATGAGGGGGACATCTGGGCACTGATTCCTAGGGAGAACCCACCCTTTGGTACCAGAAACACTTCAGTAAACCATGTGCAGGCTCAGGTGGGAGGGAAATGTCATAAATAGATGTAATGTATCATAATGTCATAGATAGAAAAAAAAAATTCACAATCCGCACATGATTCAGTTTCTTCCATTTTATTCAGATAGGTCAGAATACTTAGACTATTCATCAATATATATTCGGTTATAGAGAGCTTCAGAATAAGAAAATGGTTGTAGTTTGAGCATCGACTTCACCTCCTGCGGGGATGGCGGAGTTGGTGGCTGCCACTCAATTTTATTTCTATTGAACAGCAGTATTTTTTTTCTAATTTCTTTATTAGTTTTGCCTTTATAATGTAATAATGTTCAATGAACATGATGTGATGTGTTTTATTATTCTGATGTTGGAATGACTGTCTGTGGTTCCTTTATTGACACTGCACTGTATATGTAGGAGGATAATTACTGTTGAATTGTGTAAGCTTCAATCATGTTTTATAACACCTCTCCTCATTTTAATAGCCAGGAGCAGCAAGCTGCCCATCTGCTGACTGAATAAAAATAGGCTTGAAAATCTGAATTCAGTCCCTTGTCATTCAATTCATGTTTGGTATTGTATGCATATATATGTCTGTACATATATCTAAGGAATAAAATACGCCAGCCCACGCATTCCCTCAATACATATGCATGCCTGAGGAGTGTTGAGGCAAATCCGTGTTCAAGAGTGCGGATATGTCAAGAGAATGCGCAAGTCAAAGCGGGTTACTCTGCTCACACCCACCACGAATAAATATCACAACTGTAAAACCACTCTGACATAAATATTATCATATTTTATAATGCTTGCACATTGTGCAATGTACATAGTTCCCCATCTTCCGAGAAGCATGCTGCATGGAGTTGCTACATAATCCTCCACTCAAATCATGTGTACGTGGCATGGGTCACTGTACACACATACATATGCATATATGCATATATAAATGTATGGGCAACATAGTCTAGTAGTCTGGTATAGTCTAGCAAACCTGCACTTAATGGGAGAACATTCAACTAATGTTAAATTTGGGAAATGGAAAACAAGGATCCTCATTTAAACATTTATACACACAAATTATATATTACTCATTATTAAACATTTTCATAGTAATCACTGTTTATTTGGGGAAGGATACTCTTTCATATGTAGCACACAACCAGTGAGACACCATCATTAGATTTACCTACATTTTTTTTTTTTTTTTTTGCATTTATGTGCCAAGCAGGTCTGCTGTCAAAATCACTGCTTATTAATACCTGAGAAAGTCTGTCTGACTCTGAGGTGCACCCTGGAGTCCTGCAGGGAAGTGAACCCTACTGCCCTCTACAGGACACTAAAAAAGCAGACCAATTTCTATGACCTAGCAAGAGGGCAATTGCTGTGTGTGAGCAAAACACATTACACGGAGTCATTGATAAAAACTGCACAATGAAGCAATGTCTATAATGAAAGGCTGCCAAATTCCATTAATTTCCCATGTGCAGTGTAATGCATGAGTTTGGCCATACACATTCCAATTAGATGAGATGTATGAGAAGTAAAAATCTGATTTCAAACAAATAAATGTGGTTAATGGTGTCCTATCTTTTCATGCAACTTTATTAGATGCACTTTGTAAGTCTCTGAGGATAAGAGCATCTGCTTGACAGTAATGTAATGTTGTGCAATACTTGGCAACCGTGGCAGTCAATCTGGCAATGACTGATCTTTTTTTCTCAGCAACTGTTGCTCAATACCTCCCACCACCACCATTAAAGTAGGGTTTCAAAGGTGAATACTGTTTAAAACCTTACTTTTCAGTCATGGGTTAGTTCATTTTCAATATTTCATTTAAAACAAAACAAAACATACTCCTGTGTAATGAAATGCAAAATTACCAGGGGAAAGATTTTTGCAGGTCACTACAGACTGCAGACCTACCTCTTTAGACTGCATTATTGCATTCCTACCCAATAATAACATCTTTCCATTTCTCATGAATAATTTCAGGGTATAATTGAATTTCTGTACAAAGTACAGCACTGGTTGTTATGGCATAAGTATGATGGACTGAAACACTTTAGAATGTAGTAGGTCATTTTCTGTATATGCTATTGCTTACCTTAGTAACCTTATTTTGTGCAATTTTGTTCCTTTGCTTTGTATGTAACTCTGGATGAGAGTGTCTGTCAAGTGGCTAAATGGAAAAATACATGTAGTGGGGCATGTATTGATCTGTTTCATTCAAATGTGTGTTTGTGTGTGTTTGTGTGTATATGTGTGTGTGTGTGTGTGTGTGTGTGTGTGTGTGTGTGGGGGTTGCGGGGTGTGACAAAGGGCTGCATATTATTGAAGCCAATTACACTTCTTGTTAAATTAAGTAAAATGGACTTTTTTTTGCAACCTGGCCACATCAGATCAAGAAAATGATGCTGAAAACATCTAATTAACATCCAAAATAAGGGAGAAAAACTGCAAAAATGCATCTCTTATGCTGGGCTCAAACTTTGGTTTGCGCCTCACTGAATCTTACAGAACCATGTTAGCTAACTTCCACGAACGTGACTATCTTTTCGGATGTTTCTGACTAACACAATTAATCTGAAATGAAACCATCGGAGTGTCACAGGGTCAAATTTCACAACAAGCATAAAAGCACACACAAGACAGAAAATGAATTCCATGACGGTTTTATTTCACTGAAATAAAAAGGTAATTGCACAAGAGTCCAGCAGCATGCAAGCTGCATGCCAAATACATTTTTTGCTCTGAGGTTCAGAATCGTGGCCTGTCATAGAATCCTCAATAAGGCACTGATTTCTTTTTACAGATGAGAAGCTAACCTTCCAGTCACTTGCTTCTGAACAAAGACAGCTTTTCAAAGATAATTAACCAACACCGAGGTACAATTAATCCTTCTTTCCCCCCCCGAGGAATTCAAATCTCCTCTGTTTCTCTCCTCATTTTGTACTCGTCAAATATTTCACATTACGCTGCTTGAATATTATTACTACTATAATCATTAATTATTGCACAACAAGGCCAGAGAGGTTAATGCCTAGTGTGATTTGAATAAATGCCGCTAGCATCTCCCATCAGAAATTTGGCTGAACTGACTGATGCACATGCTGCTGTTGTTATGGCTGGTAGGCGTGCTGTCTGTGGAGGCCTGCTGCCTTTCCAAAGCCCCCCCCCCCGTCCCCCCGGGTGTCCCGACCACTGTGGTGAAGGGAGAGATGGTGGAGTGGTGCTTGCTGGGTTCAGGGTAGCCCAAAGCTGAGCTGGGCGGGGCTAGGCAGCTCGGCAGTGAGCAGAGTCCCGTGGAGTCTGCCCGGCTCGCCCCTCACTTGAGGAGGTTGGTCAGCAGGATGTTGCAGATGATCCCGGCGGCCAGGATGAGGACCATCGAGACGACCGCCAGGCCCCGGCGGAGCACCAGCTGCCTGGTGGACAGCACCGCTCCCACGGTGCTGCAAGCCACCCTGCCCCCAGCCTCTGCCCCGCCCTCACCCTCGCCTTTACTCCGCCCCTCCGCGTTCTCATTGGCCTCGGGTAGCTGGGCCTCCACAGCCAGGGCTGGAAGACATGAACAAACACTTTGTGCTCAGTTTGTTCGACCGAATTCGGGCCCAGACACAAACAAACATTTCAGCTGAGGACACAAACAAATACTTCATACTCAGTTTCTTCAACTGAATTCGGGCCCAGACCAGGCTTGGTCCCAGGAGAAAATACAGAGGGGTGCAACTAAAATCCATGGGGGTGCACAAAAAGTCATAAATACTGTGCAGACGCCGGGATATAAGGAGACAACTGGGGGCACACTGAGGTCCGTCTGGGGGTGCAGTGCACCCCTAAGTACCCCCATAGTAC